AATTTAATGTAATTCCCAAAGTTTGACGTAAAATATACCATCTGCGTTGGATCGGATTAGTCGGCGGGGGGCATGGTTGCGAGCGCGGGTAATGAACGAAGCACTATAGTCCTGATTGAGTTTAACCAAACAATCGGATTACGAACATTCATCTAGTTTCTGTTACTGGGAAATACAGTTTCCAGCGAATTTGCACGAATTACGTTAAAAAAAGTACTGAACCCTAAAGTGATATTTATTACACACATGGTTGAGAGATACAAAATAAAAAAAAATACTTAACTCCCCTTACTTATAATAATCATTTTTTTTTATTGCTTAGGTGGGTGGACGAGCTCACAGCCCGTCTGGTGTAAGTGGTTACTGGAGCCCATGACATTTACAACGTAAAATGCGCCACCCAACTTGAGATATAAATTGTAAGGTCTCAGTATAGTTACAACTTGAACTATTAGAAACAAATCTTCGTTATCGAGAACTGGCTAAAGATCTCTTCGCATAGTACATTTCGCATAAAATTCTATAAAATTAGTACATTCAACAAGGTTAAATTAGAAGACACAGGTCGGTACTATCGAACACTGGCCGATTTACCGGAAAATGGGCAACAGAATTCTCTAATATCCAGCATACTGCAATCGCAAACCGTAACTGTCATAGAGAGTGTAGTAAGCCTATAAGTTTTGTAATATTCAGAATCTATACTAATATTATAAAGAGGAAAGATTTGTTTATTTGTTTGTTTGTATTGAATAGGATCAAAAACTACTAAACCGATTTGAAAAATTCTTTCAATCTTTGGAAGCTACACTATTCCTGAGTGACCGTAGGCTTATAATATTTTTAAAAAAAATTAGGGACCCTTACTAAAACTCCAATAATGTAACCCAAAGTGTAAAAAGCTTACCTAAAATACTTTTTACATCGCGTGCCCTGCGAAAACGATTGATGATAGAATAAAATAATGTACTACGACTTTGTAGAATACATTATTATTAACAAAAAGTGTCGCAACAGCATATGTCTAACTGTTATAGTTATGCCGCAATTTTTTTTTTTTAATTGATTAGATGGATGGACGAGCTCACAGCCCACCTGGTGTGCCCGTGCGGACTCCCAAGAGGTCCTACCACCAATAATTACGCAAATTATAATTTTGCGGGTTTGATTTTTATTACACGATGTTATTCCTTCACCGTGGAAGTCAATCGTGAACATTTGTTGAGTACGTACTTCATTAGAAAAATTGGTACCCGCCTGCGGGATTCGAACACCGGTGCATCGCTACATACGAATGCACCGGACGTCTTATCCTTTAGGCCACGACGACTTCAATAAGAGTTCTTTTATTTAAAAAAATAAAACAACGTCAAATATCGTTGAAATTTTTGTTAAAGACCCGAGCGGAGCCGGAGCGGGCCACTAGTCATTAATAAAACTGCTGACTTCCGCCAGCCCTCCAGAACATACTTCACCTTACTCCAGTAATCACGGAACGGCACTTCTCAAACAACTCCCAATGAACGTTTAATGATCATCAAACAAATCCAATTCAGCAAAAAACGAGATCAAACACTAACGTAAAAGTAAAACACGGGAAAAATTGGTATCATTTAGAATACAAGGAAAAAAATACGGTAGGTATCCGAGGTAAAATTTACCAAGAATTTGAGAGCATCAGCAGTTTCTCCGACAAACAAACTCTTTCAATTAACAGTCGGGATTTTTTTCAGGTCTGTAGCTGAAACAGCTATGAGACGAGGTAAGTTTTAGCTCTTTAGAAAAAAATGTTTTCAAGGGCTGCTTTGCTATACGGGACAAATGACAAGAGATGAGCGACTGAAGCTAAACATTCCTAAGCGAAGCATCACTTTTCTTTAGTGTGATGCGTTTTAACACGGGAAATTCTCCAGCCATTTAATATCACCGCAACTCAGCTTAGGATCTACAAGTTAATTAATATGGTCCGAAAATTTAAAGACACGCAAAGAAATTTCTTTTACTCTTTATTAAATAAGCTTATCAATTGAATATCGTTTCCTCTCTGTTATAGAATTAGATATTAAAAATCATTTAGGCGTAACGAAATGTAAAACCCAAACTTATTTAAGCCAGTAAACGAGAACTAACATACAATAACATTGAAAATGTAACATTTCAATAACATTTTATCTTCACTTGCTTGACTATATGACTTATTAATTTAAATAATATGTATAACGTAATTATGGAGAACAGCTGTCAAGGCTATAATAAACAAAGATTCCACATGACCACGACTGCTCCGCCAAGAGTTACCTACTATTATGATGACCACGTAAATAACGAAGTTTTTCTGGTAAATAAATAAATCGCTCTTAGTCTGTACCTTAAGGGTGCGGTCCTTTCATTCTCCTTGATTTTTTTAAGCATCGTACCGTAGACCCTTTGGCATTACGGATAATTAAATGAATTTAAGCTTTACTAGACTAAAACGATTTCTACAATTAAAATTACGACAAATCTTTAATGTTCAGTTTTCTATAAATGGGCTTTAAGCGGTTATACACGAAGCGTTGCTTTAAGCATGTAACCCTAAATAGTTGTATTGGCTTGTATAATGAATTTTATGTTTGTTTGTATAACCGACAACGTACTACAACAGTATGATTGATAAGCACTTCCGTCTAATTGACAAATAAAACAATCTTCCACAATAAAATCATTCACAAAGTCAGGCAGTTTTATCGCCGATATTAACTTATCGTTTGATTACTTTACCATACTAATAATTCATCTTGAATGGACTCATTTTAATTGAAATATTTTTTTATTTTTTATTTAGGAGAATTACTAGAAATGATAACAAGTTAGTTTATTAATGTTTTTTTGATGAATTGTGTTTTTTGAATACTTCGTTCATTTGGTAGTGATAGAATAACCACATACCCGATTCTGCGAACCGAATAATAAACAGTCGACGTCCTCAATGTCGCCCTAAACAGGTCATTTCAATTCCTCCCCATTCACTAAAGGTGCTTTTATGTACCTCAAGCACCGGTCACCGTTCTCGTCGAATCTGTCGCTGGCCACGAAGGGCTCGGCGAGCAAATCAACCCACAGACAAAGCCCATTGAGTTTCTCGTTGGGTCTTCCCAGTGGCTCGCATTTCCGATCCGGTGGTAGATTCTGCGAAGCACTGCTCTTGCTAGGGCTAGTGTTAGCATCGTGGCCAGGTTAGAGCCCCGTGACCTCACCTACTCGTTCGATAACGCTGGCATAGCTCTCTAAGGCCACCAGCATTGGTAGGAAAAATAAATAAGGCTTAGAATAGTGGAGGCTGACAATTCTATACACCCAAAAAGGTGTTTTCTATGAATCGTAATATACATTTTAGTAGTAGCTGGTCCACATATTTCAGTGTTTCACTAGCTCACACCATCGACAGTACCGGTGGTGCTTTCTTATTTATTTGGACGCTTTGCAGAGCCCCTTGAAACTTTTAATAAACCTGTGTATTTTTCAAGTGATGTAAATAAAGCTAATATTAAGGTCAGCCGGAACTTATGAATCATTTCATCTAACAATATGTGAATATGAGCGTACACCGCAAGCCCCAACTACTTAAAACTCTTAAAGAGATGAAACATGAAGTATGAAACTAATTAAAGAACAAATCGAAAAAATCGCATTTCGATAAACGGGACAGCAAATTGAAAAAAGTTGAATGAACTCTAAAAGAAACTTCGCCATCAAATTTATTTACGATCTGTTATCGAGCAATCAAATAGTATATCAGGGATTAAAATTAACAGCACAATAGAACTACGCACAGATATGAAAGACAGGAATTGGTTTATGACACTGTCTATTAATAAGCTTGCCATCTATTTCATTAACTATAAATACGGCCGTCTACATTGTCTCCACATTATATGTTTCTGAAACACGAGAGAGAAACAACGGTAAGAAACTTTTATTTGCGTTATGTTTGGACCTTTAATTTTATATATTACTAGCGACCCGCCCTCGCTTCGCTTCGACCAACCAAAAAAATAAAATATTTTTTTTTTTAAAAAAGTAGCCTATGTTCATCAGGGACAATGTCGGCTTCTAATGGAAAAATAATTTTTCAAATCGGTCAATTAGTTTCGGAGCCTATTCGAAACAAACAAACAAACAAATCTTTCCTCTTTATAATATTAGTATTTTTTTTTTTTTTTTTTTTTTTTTTTTTTTTTTTTTTTTTTTTTTTTTTTTTTTTTTTTTTTTTTTTTTTTTTTTTTTTTTTTTTTTTCCACAGGAGAAAATCGCCGGATCCGCACCCGCACGGCAGGTGGGGTATGTGGGAGTCGAACCTCACTAAAAACTCCTGCCGCTCACAGCCGGCGCCCGGCTCACGGCCTACCTGATGCTAGATTGTTACCGGAGCCCATAGACATCTACAACGTAAATTCCGCCACCCACCTTCAGATATGAGTTCTAAGGTCTCAGAATAGTTACAACGGCTGCCCCACCCTACAAACCGAAACGCATTACTGCTTCACGGCAGAAAATAGTCAGGGTGATAGTACCTACCATTGCGGAGTCACAAGAGGTTCTACCACAAGTGATGGTACCTAACACTTAAGCACTAGTGATGAAGATAAATTATGGGTATAGTTTTTTATTTATATCAATATATATTTGTGTAGGAACAGAATGTAAGAATGAATGACAAATACGGAGCATGACTGAATGAGAGAGTGGAGATGTGATATAAGAAGGTAAGAGAGACGGCGAATGAATGTTTGAAATATAGTTTCCTTTTAAGCGAGAAGAGGAACGAGGGTAGTTACCGGACACAACGGGAGGGTAGCGGAATGTAACTCGGTAGTCGAAAATCATGATCCCATACAGTATTGCTGAATCCCATGATGATCTCATACAGTATTCTTACAGTATTGCTGAATCTTTTGTTTACTTCTTAAGTCATTCATATAGATGAAAAAAAAAACATTTTTTCCAGCTTAAAATCTACAATGAAGACAGCTGTGACTCTGTTGACCCTGGTGGCGATGGCAGTCGCTCGGCCTTCGCCGTTGCCTCTCCCACTGGTTCAGCTCATCGTCAACGTCAACGTTACAGACACGAACCCTTCCATCGTCAACCCTGTAATCCCAGAACCCGTCAAACCTCCAGTAGTCGTTGACCCTATCGTTCCAGAGCCTCCAGTAAATCCTATCGATCCCATTCCAGTTGACCCTGAGGTTCCCGAACCAGAGCTTCCCGTTGTTCCTGAGCCTGAACCAGAGCAGCCCATCATTCCCGACCCGGAGCCAGAACAGCCCATTATTCCTGAGCCGGAGCCAGAGAACCCTGAGCTTCCCGAGCCTGAAGTCCCCGAACCAGACCCGGAAGTCATTGAGGTTCCTGAAGCGCCTGAGGTCATTGAACAACCAGAAGAGACTCAACCTGAACCTGCCGAGGAGACTCCAAAACAAGAGTACTAAGTAATGAACTAAATTTCATAGCAACTTTTGGATCGGATCGGATCAAAACTATACAACTAAAAGCTCAATATTAATTAATGGACTTTAGGCACTATTTTTTGTTATGTAATAAAAAGCATTGAAACCTTAAGATTTTTTTCTATTTCATAAATTTCCCATAAAGGCCAAATTTCTCCTAGAAGATCTGTGATTTTCTCTTATTTAAAGACAAAATTACAATTCATCCTGAAATTGCATAAACTGTATTTGGGTCATTTTGGGTATCTCTGAAGCAAAATAACAGAGATTCCATTTTAAAGGTAGGGTAATCATTTCAATTTGTACCTCCAGAGGTAATAGACTTTGTGCAGTAGTCACTTTGAACCGAACGGACCTTGACTTCATTTGTCCATCAACCTTCTTCTTCTTATCAGCCCACAGACGTCCACTGCTGGACATAGGCCTCCCCCAAGCCTCGCCACAAAGACCGGTCCTGCGCTGCCTGCATCCAGTGGATCCCCGAGAACCTCAATAGATCGTCATGTATATATAATAATATGATCCCATGATGAATCCATCAACCTTAACAAGAACAAAATCTACTAATAGATTATTACAAAAATTAAAATATTTGAATCGTTACAGTTTACCTGGAAGCCGTGTGGACAAACGCTCGCCTAACACGTCTTGCATATTCATGAGGTGACTGTACATTTGTCAACAGACAGACCCATATGTTTGGCTCTGTCGTAACAGCTTAATGGACGTGTGCGATCGACCGTTTATGCACCGATTTATTGGTAACATGCAATATACATAATAGTCGATATCCTAATGCGGAAAAATCTGATCTATTAGTAGTAGGGCGTTTTCTGAGCAATGCGTTTCAGCTTGAAGGGTGGGGCAGCCGTTGTACTGTTCAAACTGAGATTTAGAACTCATGTCTCAGGTGGGTGGCGGTTGGCAGGCGGATTGTGAGCTCGTCCACGCATCTAAGCCATAAAAATCTCTTCTTAATGCCTCTTCTCTGTTTGGCCTTTCCTTATGTACTAATACTATACACAATCAGTCAAAGAATTGCTTTACGATAGGCAAACCATGTAACAATTTAAAACGGCCGCAAATCCGTGAAACACCCCCGGAACCCGTTATCTTGGTTGTTTGTGTGCCGCCGAAATTCCCTCAAGTGAAACACGTTAAGCTAACTCGCACGGGTTGTGCAAACAGTAAAATTTAAAACGATATCAAACGAGTTCCGAACTTTACAAGCTTAGTAAAAACATTTGTCTTCATTTCGGTACATGGATTGTAGAAAACAGGACACGCCAAGACTTGACAGCTCACCTTCAGTTCGTTGTCGATTGCCCATAGACGCCGATCCAACTAAATAGTTGTGGATATATTTAATAATATGTACATGATAATGCCATTCAGTTTATATTTTATTTCATAATTTTTGTACAAAGGGAAAAAGTAAATGTTAAAATTTACGTAAAGCATGTAAATATGTGACCTTACGCCACATCGGAATTCTAAATTATGTAATTTAATAAAAATGTACATATATATTTTCTAATTAAATGAAAAAAGAACAGGATTCGAAATAGTTGTAAAATGAGATAGAAACAATGTTAAAAAAAAGGGTGTGTGTACTTATGTACGCGCGTAAGAAGTTATACTTTATTTTCATTAAATTTATTTCTTTTTTTTAATATTAAATAATTAATAATAAATATTTAACGTTAATAATTTAATAATATTTAGTATGAATTATATTAAATAATAATTTTGTTATTTATATTACTAAATAATACATACGGATAGTTAACCTCAATTGTATTGGACCAATTGTGGGCAACTTCATTAATTCTGTTAATTTTGTGTCACGCGCATCGTAAAATTTCACTCTCATCAATTTTTCATAACGCGCCTAAAGAAGTATAACTTCAAAAATTGTATTCGTAAAGTCCTGGACGGAGGGACAATCATGATGTTAATCGATCAAATTTTAATTTACTATTTTTTGGTATTTTTTTATATAACTAGTCAGGTCATAAGTATTGTCACACAGTAAAAACTTTTCTTTTAGAATGCTGGCCACAAAAAAGTTTATTGAATTCGAATTTCGAATTGTTCATGAAAATAAAAATGTATACTTTTAGAATTTTACTCATTTATAAATATGGAGTGGACGCTTAAAGACGACCGTGTTGCAGTTATTGCGTTGCATCGTTGCGGTTACGCGCCAATTCAAATTTTTAACATACTGAAAAATTTTAATATAACCAAAAGATTCGTTTATCGTACCATCAAACGATACAATGAAGACTCTAGTGTAGATGACAGGTCAAGAAGTGGTCGCCCTCGGTATGTTAGGACTCCAGCAGTGATAAAAGCTGTGAAGGCGCGAATTCAAAGAAATCCCAAACGTAAGCAGAAACTGTTGGCCCTTCAGATAGGGTTAAGCAGAACCACGGTGAAAAGGGTGTTAAATGAAGACTTAGGGCTTCGGGCATATCGAAGAAAAACAGGACATCGTTTGAATGCTCGTCTAATGGACCTGAGACTGAAGAGATGCCGCGCTTTGTTGAAGCGGTACGCGGGAAAAAAATATCGGGAAATTCTTTTTTCGGATGAAAAAATTTTTACCGTAGAAGAGAGCTACAACAAACAAAATGATAAGGTGTACGCACACAGTAGTGAAGAAGCGAGCAACCGTATTCCGCGTGTCCAACGAGGTCATTTTCCATCCTCGCTCATGGTATGGTTGGGAGTTTCTTATTGGGGCTTAACAGAGGTACATTTTTGTGAGAAAGGTGTAAAAACGAATGCAGTTGTGTATCAAAATACAGTCCTGACGAACCTTGTGGAACCTGTTTCTCATACCATGTTCAATAACAGGCACTGGGTATTCCAACAAGATTCGGCGCCAGCTCATAGAGCGAAGAGCACACAAGACTGGCTGGCGGCGCGTGAAATCGACTTCATCCGGCACGAAGACTGGCCCTCCTCCAGTCCAGATTTGAATCCGTTAGATTACAAGATATGGCAACACTTGGAGGAAAAGGCGTGCTCAAAGCCTCATCCCAATTTGGAGTCACTCAAGACATCCTTGATTAAGGCAGCCGCCGATATTGACATGGACCTCGTTCGTGCTGCGATAGACGACTGGCCGCGCAGATTGAAGGCCTGTATTCAAAATCACGGAGGTCATTTTGAATAAACTTTAGTGTCATAAGAATCTATGTTTTGTTAAGTTCATTTTAGTATATGAATGGTTACATAATGAATAAACTTGTTTCAATTATTTTACATTAAACATGTGACAGAATTTATGACCTGACTAGGTATATAACACAGGGACAAATGCTAGCGGGGCCGTTAGATGTGGAACATCTATTTCTTAATATTGAATCTTACATAGTCGAACTTTATACAAATACTTCCTTTAAGGGTACCTTTTTTCTTAAAGAAAACGTATCGTCAAGTATGATACACATTTCACATTTTCACATCACCCGCACACATCACCTTTTTCTGACATGACATATTTCTGATTTCTAGAATTTACCAACACCGTAAATTTATTAAAATTTTCACCATAAAGCGGAATTTTAAAAATGCTTTACACTTTAAACTACTTTTTACAAATTCTAACGATTGAAATACTTTAAAAGTATCGCGTCACAGACGACCAAGATAAAACAATAAAAAGCCACATCCATAATATTAATACCATTCGATGTTACCAAGTTCAGCGGTGAAAAGTAATTAAAATTAATGTCTACATTCGCCTGTGAAATGTTACGTTTTCACGTTACTAAATTGTTTAATGTTATTCTTGTTGATTTAATCAAATATTTCTCCGCGTATTATTTATTGGCTAATTTCTTTTGAATAAAGAAATTGTATAAATAATTTAAGTGATTTAGATTTAGCTTTACCGTTTAAAGATTTGTTTTTGTAGTATAATTTACTGATGTGATCTCAGGTGATGTTAGTTTATTTAACTATTGGAAAGATATTTTCTATGATACCAAAAATAGAATATTAGGGATCTACTAAATCTATTAAGAGCTGATTGTTAGTAGGTAAACAGTCAATTTGAAATAAATTTGATTATTTTGTTTTCGGTACATATCAGATGAACTCACAGATCTTTAGCCACTGCCGAAGTTCACCGACTCCAAATTGACCATGTACCATGAGGTCCAAGTTCTAGGTAGTTGTTACAATGGAACTCCCATACTCTCAACTATGCGGAATCACAAAATAACATTTATTTTGCGGATATCATTTTAACTAAACGATGTTATTCGTAGGTTGATCTTTTTTTCTTTTCGTTCCTAAGCCTTGAGAGTCTATTTCAGCGTAACCTTAACTAGTAGGTAAGCTCACGGGGCTCAAATCTGACGACGTTGCTAACACAAACCCTAGCAAGAGCCGTGCTTCGCAGAATCTACCACCGGATCGGAAACGCGACCCACTGAGAAGATCCGGCAAGAAACTCTGTGGGCTATATGTGTGTGTTAATTTACTTGTCGAGCCCTTTGTCGCAAGCGACGGGTTCGACGAGAACGATGACCGGTGCTTAAGGTATCTAAAAGCACCGTTAGTGGATCGGGAGGATCCGAAATGACGTATTTTGGGCGACGTCGACTGCTTTTCATTCTGTCCGCAGGATCGGGAATGAGGTTGATCAACAGCTGCTATAAACACGAAGTTTTTGCATTAGTACCAGCCTAAGGATTTGGCCTAGCGTTACTGCATCACTCATTACGAATACTCGTAAATTGGACATAATTACGAGACGACCACTTCATTTATCGGCCCTCTACACTGCAAGATACAATTTATCAATAAAATATGTACCGTTACGCCGGTAAGAGTAACGCCATCTATTGTCGAATAGTCGAACGAATATCGAAGGATCTAGTAGCACCTAGAACACTCGAGAAGTACAACGCCCTATTCTATTATCAGAAAGCGGAAACACAATAGTAGAGATGTGTGGAATATTC